AAGCCTATGAAAGACAGGCTTACTTTGTTGATGTGTTCCAATGCTACTGGTGATTGCAAAGTTAAGCCTTTATTAGTGTATCACTCTGAAACTCCCAGACCGTTCAGGCAAAAGAATGTCCTCAAGGAGAATTTGTGATGCTGTGGAGGGCAAACAGTAAGGCAAAGGGTCACTAGGGACTTTTTCTATGACTGGTTACACCATGCATTTGCCCCAATGTGGGAAGATTACCTTAACTGGAAAAGAAATTAGAACTTAATGCCCCTGGTTTGAACAATGCCCCTGGTCATCCTACAACGTGGCAGAGCGACTTTATGGGGACATGAAATTCATTAAGGTGAAGTTTTTGCCTCCTAATACCACTCCTCTCCTGCAGCCCATAGACCACAGGGTTTTTGCAAACTTCAAAGAACTGTACACAAAAGCTCTGTTTTAAAGGGGCTTTGTAGTGACCTCAGAAACTCAATTTACTCTAAGAGAGTTTTGGAGAGAGCCTTTAATATCCTCAATTGTGTAAACCTTATAGGTAAGGCTTGGAGGGGGTGACTAAGAGGACCTTGAACTCTGCTTGGAAAAACTGTGGCCAGAATGTGTAGACAAAAGGATTTTGAAGGGTTTGAGGCTAACCCTGAGAGGATTTGCCAGTTGAGGAATCCATTGTGGCATTGGGAAAGTCCTTGGGGTTTGGGGGTTAGTGGGAGGATGTGGAAGAGTTGGTGGAGGAGGACAATGAAGAAAATAACCACTGATGAGCTATAGATCAACTTCAAGAGCAAGAGGCCAGACCTGAGAAAACTGGGTTTAGAGGAGGGGGGAGAGAAATTGAAGAAGTTGCCTACTACAAAGATTAAGAAATCTGTGCAATGTGGCTGAAAGTGCAAACCTTTATGGATGAGTATCACCCTCACACAGCTATTGCAAGCCATGCTGTGATTATTACACTGACAATGTTGTGAAACACTTTAGGGAAGTCATTTAAAAAAACGAGAGGTACAGGCCACTATGGACAGATATGTTGTGCGAAAGAAGTCCAGTGACTCTGAAGCTGGTCCTAGTGGCATTAAAAAAAAGAAGGGAAGTAACCCCAGAAAAGGACTCGACACCTCAAAATCTTAATGAAGGGGGTTCCCCTTCTAAACACTAACACCTCTCTCCCCCTCCTCCCATCCCATCAATCACATACCAGATCTTCAATAAAGTAATGTCATGTAAGTGTTTCATGGCTTTTTCAGTTTGTGTTATAAAATTAACATTTCATGTGGGAAAAAAATTTTTTTTTTCATACTTTTTTGGGTCTCTTGCACAGATTAATTTGATTTCCATTATTCTTATGGGGAAAAATTCATTCGCATACCGATTATTTCGCCCTAACAATGACCCCTCTTGCAAAGGATTTAAAAACGGTATGCGGGGGGCCACTGTATCTGAATACATTCACCTCCTCCATACTCCCCTCCCTCCAATCTGATATCCAATCTTTTATCACCTAATCTTTTTGTTATCCTCATAACCTTACTCTTTCCTGTATTCACTTTTAATTTTCTTTTTTTTGCACACCTTTCCCAATTCATCCACCAATCTCTCAACTTCTCTCAGAATCTCCCAGAGCCCAGTTCATCAGAAAAGAGCAACTGGACAACCCCCACTTTATGGGATTTTTTTATCTTTTAACTCCACCTTTTTGCCAAGACCCGCATTTATTCCTTACAACCCCATTTTTAAAATATATAAACAACCATGGTGACATCACACATCCTTGTCTAAGGCCCTTTACTTTCAGGGGAAAATAATTTTCCCTCTTTCCTACTCCTAACTTGAGCCTCCTATCCCGAAAAAAACTTTTTCACTCTTTCATAACCCACCACCTACACCAACCTAAAATCTGCCACATTCCCCCCCTACCACCCGTCAAAATGGCTTTTCCAAAATCCATAAACCCCAAAAAGGCCTCTTACCTTATCAAAACTATTCACTTAATTTTTCACTGTAAACACTGGTCCACCACCCCCTACCTTTTCCTAAAGCCCCCCTTGTTCATCTGCAAAATTTCCTTTCTCCGTTTTACTCTTAATTTTTTCAAAAAAACTCTACCAAGCTTTACCAGTAACTCAACAACTTATCCCCCTATAATTTTTTGCACTCTTTTGTCCCCTTTCCCTTTTTATAAAAAGGGAAAACTACCAGCTCTCTGCCAACCCTAGGTACCTTACTCTTCCATAATTTATTAAAAAATTGCACCAACCCCTCCAAAACATATCCCCCCCTGCTTTTAACATTTCTATCTTTACCCCCTCAATCCCAGCTGCCTTACCCCCTTTCATTTTACCTACTGCCTCATGAACTTCGCCCACACTCACAACTGGCTCTTCCTCACTCCTACAAGATGTTATTCCTCCTTGCCCTATACACGAAATCACAGCTTCCCTATCTTCATCAACATTTAACAATTCCTCAAAATTTTCCCTCCATCTTCCCAATACCTCTAACTCTCAATTTAATAACTCTCCTCTTCTATTTTTAACTGACAAATCCATTTGTTCTCTAGGCTTCCTTAACTTGTTAACCTCACTTCAAAACTTTTTCTTATTTTCAACAAAATTTGTTGATAACATCTCACCCACTCTCTCATTTGCTCTCTTTTTACATTGCTTCACCACTCTCTTAACCTCTCTCTTTTTCTCCATATACTCTTCCCATATATCACTTCTACTTTGTAAAAACTTCTCATATGCTAACTTTTTCTCCCTTACTACTCTCTTTACATCATCATTCCACCAATCGCTCCTCTTCCCTCCTGCACCCACTTTCCTGTAACCACAAACTTCTGCTGAACACTCTAACACTACATTTTTAAACCTACCCCATACCTCTTCGACCCCATTGCCTATGCTCTCATTAGCCCACCTATCCTCCAATAGCTGTTTATATCTTACCCTAACTGCCTCCTCTTTTAGTTTATAAACCTTCACCTCTCTCTTCCCTGATGCTTCTATTCTCCTTGTACCCCATCTACCTTTTACCCTCAGTGTAGCTACAACTAGAAAGTGATCTGATATATCTGTGGCCCCTCTATAAACATGTACATCCTGAAGTCTACTCAACAGTCTTTTATCTACCAATACATAATCCAACTAACTACTGTCATTTTGCCCTACATCACATCTTGTATACTTATTTATCCTCTTTTTCTTAAAATATGTATTACCTATAACTAAACCCCTTTCTATACAAAGTTCAATCAAGGGCTCCCATTATCATTTACACCTGGCACCCCAAACTTACCTACCACACCCTCTCTAAAAGTTTCTCCTACTTTAGCATTCAGATCCCCTACCACAATTACTCTCTCACTTGGTTCAAAGGCTCCTATACATTCACTTAACATCTCCCAAAATCTCTCTCTCTCTCCTCTACATTCCTCTCTTCTCCAGGTGCATACACGCTTATTATGACCCACTTTTCACATCCAGCCTTTACTTTAATCCACATAATTCTTGAATTTACACATTCATATTCTCTTTTCTCCTTCCATAACTGATCCTTCAACATTACTGCTACCCCTTCCTTTGCTCTAACTCTCTCAGATACTCCAGATTTAATCCCATTTATTTCCCCCCACCGAAACTCCCCTACCCCCTTCAGCTTTGTTTCGCTTAGGGCCAGGACATCCAACTTCTTTTCATTCATAACATCAGCAATCATCTGTTTCTTGTCATCCGCACTACATCCACGCACATTCAAGCATCCCAGTTTTATAAAGCTTTTCTTCTTCTCTTTTTTAGTAAATGTCTACAGGAGAAGGGGTTACTAGCCCATTGCTCCCGGCATTTTAGTCGCCTCATACGACACGCATGGCTTACGGAGGAAAGATTCTTTTCCACTTCCCCATGGACAATAGAAGAAATAAAGAGGAACAAGAGGTATTTAGAAAAAGGGGAAAAACCTAGATGTATGTACATGTATATATATATGCATGTGCGTGTCTGTGAAGTGTGACCAAAGTGTAAGTAGGAGTAGCAAGATATCCCTGTTATCTAGCGTGTTTATGAGACAGAAAAAGAAACCAGCAATCCTACCATCATGCAAAACAGTTACAGGTTTCTGTTTCACAGTCATCTGGCAGGACGGTAGTACTTCCCTGGGTGGTTGCTGTCTACCAACCTACTACCTACTATGGAAGATATATTACAGAAAAAGAGATTATTTTGATTTGTTTCATGATGCAAAGTACCTTGAAATTGAGCTCAAAGTAGCGGAAATGTTCAATTTTTGTTGATGTTCAAGAGTAAACAAATCATGCCACGAGTCCAATATACATGATCTGGTAAGTTTAATATTCTTTCACAAGTGTGCTGATATTATTTATAAAATTTTTACAATATTGCAGTAGTCTCCATAACAGTAAATCTTCTATTTTTTGTGAGAATAAAAATTCAAAATGGAAAGCAAGAGTAATATAAGAGGGGCCTAGAGACATGACTAATGAACAGAGAAAATGTTATTTAAGTGTCAGGAATGTGTGTCTTGTTTATTCTGGACCCTATTTTGAAACTGGTATCTTTTGAAATTTGTGTGAAATTGGCCAAATTGCCAATTTTTGACTACTCCATTGGGTAGTTGAAATCAGTTAATGGGCAGTTTCTTGTACTCATTCGATAGAATAAATGGAGTTCTTGCGAAATAGCTATGATTTTAGTCGACTGGAACATTGGAATTGGCCAAAAATAGGGCTCAAAGTGGGCAAAATCGCCAGTGTGTAAATATCGTTGAGACCGCTAACTTCATGAGAGCATAATTCTGTAAGTTTTCCATCAAATTTCATACTTTTGGTGTCGTTACCATCAGGAAAAGATTCTCTATCATCTCATAAGTTTTTTTTTTTTTTAATTTTTCGACCCTGAAAGCGAGTTCAGGATCAGGGGTCTCGACCCTGAAAGAGTTGAATATCTCTGTGTACCTTACATATATACATACATGGTAATTAATCAACAACATCATACCTTTGAATAACATTCTGATATTTCATCATCCAGCTGATCCAAGAAAGTGATATTGAATATATCATGAATTAGATTGGAAGTCAAGTGGCCATACATATTCAAAGCCAAACTCATCTGCAGAGTATTCAAACCTTTCATGTGAAGGTTCTCTCTGAAAATAAAGAAATATTTTCATACAGTATCATTACCGAGGTATATTGTACATACAGATTTACATAAAAGGTTATGTTAAAAGTCTGAAAAAGATTGACACTACCAACATATTCTGAAAGAAGTTTTCAAGAGCATGCACCAAGCAGTTTCTATTTCATTTTGTCCTTAGTTATGATTTGTTTAAGAAGAATCTTCACCAACCACTTAAATTATGAACCACTTCTACACTTCTAAAGACTGATGATTCAACAGTAGGTCATTATGCTATATGCTTATGAAACTTTTTACTAATATGGTGGAGGCTTACTCATCCATCCACTAATTACAAGACTGAATTGCTACTTTCACAGCCAGGCTCTTCCCATGAAGGTGTACTATGTGAGTGATGAGCATTGTTGCACACAAGACAAGCATGGTAATGTCTGCCTTCCTGCTAGGGGTACTGAAGAAAGTAAAAACAAAAACATAAAAGATATAGCACTGATTTTTTTTTTTACTGAAGTATGAAACAAAGATATCACCAGTCACCAATAACTCCTGTTCCAGCTTACTTAACATGAAGTATATAAATGTAAGAATTAAAAAAATGGTCTAACTTTCATCTTACATGAAGTGTAGGTGCATGTTGTACTGCGTGAGAGCAAGGTGGAGGAATGTGGGAGTGGAATGGAGGAGAATGGGAGTGAGTTGGAAGCATGAGGGAGTGAGATGGAGAAGTGAAGAAGTGAGCTGTAGTGTGGAGTATGTTGTTGTGTGGGAGTGAGTTGCAGGAGTGTTAGAGCAAGTTAATGACTCCAGAGATCATTGGCCATGGTCCAAATATATTATTGAGTACAGAATATTTAAAGATACACATGGGGAAACTAAGGTAAATGTATACTGCCAAATGCAAACATTACTAGATTTATATTTCACACTCATATGACAGGATGTTATTACACTGCAGTCAGTGGTCAGTATGCTGTGGTCAGTGGTCACGTGAGGTCTTCTGTCCTAAGCTGTCTGAGAATTAGCGTGGGGTGCTACCAAGCACCATGGCTTTCTGCAGTGCTTTAGAATCTCAGGTTAAAGTGTTGAAGAAGGAGGTTCTATTCCTTCAGGAGGAAAATAGGAAGCTGAAGCTTCGCCTAGATGGGTTTGGGAGTGAGTGTGAAATGGTTGGAGCTGGTAAGGAGGAAAAGGTTACCAGCAGTGAGTTGGAGAGTGGCAGCCACTTTAAGTGGTGGGTGGTTCACAATTCAGGAAGAAGGAAGATAAGGAAGGTTAACAGAGAAGATGTGAAGGTAGGAAATCAATTCTCTGTTCTCCAAGATAAGTGTACTTCAGTGGTTAATGAGGTTAAAGGTACCACTGACTCCCCTGCTAATCAAGGTAAGATATTCTGATTGTAGGAGACTCTCAGGTTAGATATATGGACCATGCTTTTTGTAACAGAGAGTGTACCTCCCAGGAGCTGGTGTTGGTGACACAGTCAGCAGGTTGGATAATATTATGTCAGGTAATGGGAACAAGCCCATTATCTGTCTCAGTGCTGGTGGAAATGACATCGGGAAGGGCAGGAGACAGGCAGGCCAACTATTATACCTCGCAGGCCAACTATTATACCTTGCAGACTGCCTTCCTAACCACCAAGTGCAGGCCAACTATTATACCTTGCAGCCTGCCTTCCTAACCACCAAGTGCAGGCCAACTATTATACCTTGCAGACTGCCTTCCTAACCACCAAGTGCAGGTCAACTATTATACCTTGCAGCCTGCCTTCCTAACCACCAAGTGCAGGCCAACTATTATACCTCGCAGACTGCCTTGCTAACCACCAAGTGCAGGCCAACTATTATACCTTGCAGCCTGCCTTCCTAACCACCAAGTGCAGGCCAACTATTATACCTCGCAGACTGCCTTCCTAACCACCAAGTGCAGGCCAACTATTATACCTTGCAGCCTGCCTTCCTAACCACCAAGTGCAGGCCAACTATTATACCTCGCAGCCTGCCTTCCTAACCACCAAGTGGAGGCCAACTATTATACCTCGCAGACTGCCTTCCTAACCACCAAGTGCAGGCCAACTATTATACCTCACAGCCTGGCTTCCTAACCACCAAGTGCAGGCCAACTATTATACCTTGCAGCCTGCCTTCCTAACCACCAAGTGCAGGCCAACTATTATATCTTGCAGACTGCCTTCCTAATCACCAAGTGCAGGCCAACTATTATACCTCGCAGCCTGCCTTCCTAACCATCAAGTGCAGGCCAACTATTATACCTCGCAGCATGCCTTCCTAACCACCAAGTGCAGGCCAACTATTATACCTCGCAGAGTTCCTTCCTAACCACCAAGTGCAGGCCAACTATTATACCTCACAGCCTGCCTTCCTAACTACCAAGTGCAGGCCAACTATTATACCTCACAGCCTGCCTTCCTAACCACCAAGTGCAGGCCACCTATTATACCTCGCAGACTGCCTTACTAACCACCAAGTGCAGGGCAACTATTATACCTCACAGCCTGCCTTCCTAACCACCAAGTGCAGGCCAACTATTATACCTCGCAGCCTGCCTTCCTAACCACCAAGTGCAGGCCAACTATTATACCTCACAGCCTGCTTTCCTAACCACCAAGTGCAGGCCAACTATTATACCTCACAGCCTGCCTTCCTAACCACCAAGTGCAGGCCAACTATTATACCTTGCAGCCTGCCTTCCTAACCACCAAGTGCAGGCCAACTATTATACCTCACAGCCTGCCTTCCTAACCACCAAGTGCAGGCCAACTATTATACCTTGCAGCCTGCCTTCCTAACCACCAAGTGCAGGCCAACTATTATACCTTGCAGCCTGCCTTCCTAACCACCAAGTGCAGGCCAACTATTATACCTCACAGCCTGCCTTCCTAACCACCAAGTGCAGGCCAACTATTATACCTTGCAGCCTGCCTTCCTAACCACCAAGTGCAGGCCAACTATTATACCTTGCAGCCTGCCTTCCTAACCACCAAGTGCAGGCCAACTATTATACCTTGCAGCCTGCCTTCCTAACCACCAAGTGCAGGCCAACTATTATACCTCGCAGGCCTGCCTTCCTAACCACCAAGTGCAGGCCAACTATTATACCTTGCAGCCTGCCTTCCTAACCACCAAGTGCAGGCCAACTATTATACCTTGCAGCCTGCCTTCCTAACCACCAAGTGCAGGCCAACTATTATACCTTGCAGCCTGCCTTCCTAACCACCAAGTGCAGGCCAACTATTATACCTTGCAGACTGCCTTCCTAACCACCAAGTGCAGGCCAACTATTATACCTTGCAGCCTGCCTTCCTAACCACCAAGTGCAGGCCAACTATTATACCTTGCAGCCTGCCTTCCTAACCACCAAGTGCAGGCCAACTATTATACCTTGCAGCCTGCCTTCCTAACCACTTACTGCAGGCCACTACTCTTTATAGTCTTTACATTTATTGCACTAGTACTTGCATTTTTGAACCCCAAATTTTACTATTTTACTACCAAGTGCATTACAGTAAACTTGTACACTTTTAGCTTTAATATTAATTTTAACCCTTATTTTCATATTTGATAGTGAATAGCAATATTTGATTCTCAGTTACTTAGATACATAAGGTGCTAATTCAGATACTTAAGTGTTATATAACCTTACACTACACCCAGTGCAATATTGCATCATCATAATTGTACTACAATAATATTTAACTAACCCTCTTTTTTATTTTTTATTTTTTTTTAATTTACCATTACTTGCTTACTATTACTGTTTATTTATTTATTTATTTATTTATTTATTTATTTAATGTCTTTGCAAACAGTACATTGAGATTGTGTATATACAATAGTGGGATGCAATGCAAAGAGAGCCTCTATTATGCCTTGGCATTATGGGCCAACTTAACATTATTGGCTTACAGACTACTTAATACTAAGGAGTAGTATATCATAGTTGTACAGTAGGAAAGTAATTATTTCATAGTTGTACAGCAGAATATTAATTATAAATGTCTCAAAATTTGTATAATACAAAGATATACGTATTTATATTCTAAAATGCTTTTGTGAAAAAAATGATTCAATTATATTCCTATCAACAATGGATAAAAGGTTCAATGTGATTGTTTCAGTTATGATGTGGGAGTACATAGGCAAGTAAATGTATACTGAGTACAGGAGGGCCCCACTTATACGGCGGGTTAGGTTCCAGGCTACCGCCGTAAAGCGGAAACTGCCGTAAAGTGGAACACCCTTTTTTTCCACTTACAAATGCATACAAACACTAGATAACAAGTTTACACTAACATATATTATGTTAGCAATAGAACCAGGCATCAAAAAACAATAAAAAAGTACAATACACACATAGTGCACTCATTACTTACCTTAAAATATTTATAGTCTTAATCTAGGGTGAGACAAGTATTTATTGTAAGAAATCAAGTGTGGTATGTATGGTAGTCAGCCAGGCTACCATACCAGGCACCCCACCCACACATACTATTCTATGATATTTAAGCATCCCAGAGCGATAAAATGTATATACAGTTCACTCATTACTTACCTTAAAATATAGGGTGAGATGAGTAGTATTTATTGTAAAAAATCAAGTGTGGTATGTATGGTAGTCAGCCAGGCTACCATACCAGAGAGAAAGAATGAGTGCATGAGAGAGGACAGGCGCAGAGTTATGTAAACAAACCAGGCGAAGGTAAGTTTTGTAAACAGTGTACACATCTGGTTTGTGTACAAGTTACATTGTGTACAGGTTGTCTCTACATTGATACGGTAGAATAAATAAAGAAGAACACTCCCATTCTCATGTAACATCATTTTGAGAAGAAATGATGCTCTGAGTGAAGGCAATGGAAGTAAGTCACTCTGACTTTTTTGGGTTATCCTAGGTTCTCTACACATATGTTGTTATGTATTTATGTTATGTATCGTGTTTATTATATAATTTTGAAAAAAATATCACGGATGGATTAATGAAAATGTG